CCAAGGCACGCCTCGGCAGGAGGCGAGTCCTCGGAAACAGAGGCGGCATGTTTGGCAATGCCGGACAAGACAGGGACGTCCCAGAAGGGGAGATGGACGAGGCTTTCTGGGCAAACCAGAAGGCCCCCGTCAAGAATGAGGACGAGCCGCTGCCGGAGGGAGACTACGACGCCAACTTCTTCCAGGACGATGCCTTGCCGTTTGCCGGTGGCTTGGATGACGAAGACGACGAGTTTGCGGATGCCCGGGAGCACTTGTCACCCGGCGCCGAAGGCGACGTCGGAGCTACAGAAGCTCTTGGCATGACGGCTTTGCTTGGCGGCGACGCAACCACCAATGTTCTGACCGGCGCTTTTGGCACGACTCTGGTCACGCAAACACGTCGCATGCGGCCAGATTACGTGCAGTTCGCGCGTGTTGCCAAGAAGGTGGATGTGAGGCGCTTGAAGGAGGAGATCTGGAAGGGCATGGGTCTTGAGGGCCTGGATAGCGTAAGTCGAACTCCTCGGTCACTTTTCCCATTGGGAAATGAATTGTTGCTAACCCATCACCAGGATTCCACAAGACTTTCTTCGCCTGATGCCCCAGCGCCACCGGTAGAGCCACCCGCCAAGGATACCGAACTCAAGTTTACCGAGGTCATGAATGGCCTCGGCTCAGTTTACCCCAAGGCCATGATGGAGGATATCTCAACAAGTTTCTGCTTCATCAGTCTGCTGCATCTCGCTAACGAGAAGGGTCTCGTCATCGAGAAGACACCCGAGCTCACGGAGCTTAACATCCGCAAGGATTGGACGGCTGAGATCGTGGGAGGGGAATAAACCAAGACAGCGATTGTGCTCTTGTAACGCAAGGAGACAAAGCAAAAAATGGAGGGATAAGGGGTGGCGGAATACTGTTTTTACGTCGAGGCATCGGCGTTTGTGTGTCTTTTTGTTGAACGACGGCCTGTTTGATTCTTCTGACAAAGTGTGTTGGGTAAACCCTTACGTCTCATAATGAACACTGGGCGGAAACATTCCATTTTGAAGCTTCGTTCTCTATGTATTCACCTGTATCCGTACTTGAGGGCGCGACTTGAGCTTGGGAGTAGGGAGTCTGTGTGAAGACGGACGTCTTATGTGATGGATCAAAGAGAACAAGACCAACGACCTCTCATCGAGGTACCTGCTTTTCCTACCTTGATTATCTTTAGCATTGTTCCGTGTCGGTGCTTTTTTTCTTTTCAGAAACGACGTGGCAGCGCCTGGGCCATGGTTCGTGATATGCATAAATAAGGTAAGCATGAATTTTTCTTCTTCATCGTCTTAATTACCCTTAGCTTGACCGTTGAAAACGAACGGACGGGAGCTAAGGAAGGCAGGGCCATGAACGGAGTGAGTCTCCGTATAAGGGTGAAGAAAAAAAAAAAGCTCGTGCCCGTTTTGGCGTGCTTTTTCAGGGTCCCGCTCTCAACCCCCATACTTTATACGCTATGGTTTCGAATCTCACGATTGAATGCAAGAAAGACCCTGAAGTTTTGGTTCCTGCGCCTGGGTTGTTTTGGTTCTTCATGCAGTATGAAGGGACGATGAGCAGCAGAACGGTCGGATGGGTTTGAGCGAGCGCAGTGGGCACTGCAGGGAGAAAAAAACAAATCAGATGGCAAGGGCGGCGGATGCAGCCAGTTTAAAATAGAGGCGCCTGTGCGAAGATTTCCTACTCAGCAAGTATACATGGGGCTTCTGCTTGCCAGGCCTGAAGGCCTTTATGGCGGAAGCGTTGGGTCTCGAGGCTTTTGAGAGAATATGTCTGTCTGCCGCTTCATCTGCTCTTGATTATTATCGCCATCATTTTGTTTTCCAGCAATTAGCGTTATGGGTTGGCATTTGTCCCACCGTGTTCTTGACGCAATACTTGGTAGATAGACCAGCTCGCTCTCTAAGGGAAATCCTGTCTGTATGCGACAGCAGCTGTGGAAGCTTTGGTCTCTGGGACTGAACAGACTGAGTATTTCCGCGGGCAATCAGTGTTCGACACCTACTATACCCATCACGGGCGAAGAAACCAAGTTCAACGGCCCAAAGCAGTGGATGAAGGATTCGCCGCAGGCGAACGACCCTCACTATTTACAAGAGCTCACGAACGCAGGTGTTCCTTTCATACAGGATCGCTCATGGGTACCCTCCCTTTTGCAGAGGCGACATTCATTTGGTTGGAGTGACTCGTGTCGCACTTGAAGTTGGACAGTCGGTTGGTGAGCGGAGTGTTGTTAAGCCATGGTCACTGATGCAAGAGCATCCGGATCTGTTGATGTAGAGCATGCAGGCCTGAGCAGCGCGACATCCACGTGCCTTTTGGACATGTTGTGTACAATTACATGACCACACCTTCAATAATGCTATGAGCATCATCCTCTCTGGCTTGCTCAATCAAAAGATTAGCATCCTTTGCGGAATCGGACGCGGCACTCAAAACTTGGGTGTAGTCTTTCTCTCTCAACCTCCTCACTCAAAACTTCTGTAGAACTTCTTCTCGCATATTCTGAATAGAATATATGTGATCAAGTGATGAAAAGTGGTCGGTTTGTATATGAACAAAACAACGTTTTACTATGGAGTATGGATATGTAGAATGCATTGTAGCAAAGTGTGCCAACGCAACCTACACAGTTTCGAGTAATACCTTCTCATAGACGATATCATCAATCGACCGCCGAAAATGAGGCTTCCAAACCAAGCGCTGCTTTCATCTTACAGGATCCCGAATGCAACCATGCTTCGTTGATCCCGCACGGAAGCCCGCATCGAATTTGTGCATGAAGAGTTTGCTATGCAGTGCAGCACTTTGATCTGACCTTACCTTACCTTACTCTTCCTGCTCGATACTCAACCAACGCTGGGTACATTCAGTCGCTATCGATGGAAAAAAAAAACGCAGTTGCAAGATCATCGTGGCACACTCCACTCCATCCAAAGACTATTGGGAATTGTCAGGGAAAAAATTAAGGAAAAATCAAGACAAATTTCACGCAAAGATCTGAATCATCCTGCAACAATCACGAGACATTGCAACTTTTCATACTTTGAACCTACCTTCAGATCAACACATCACCTTAGTCATGTCCCGATGAACGCGCACCTCAAGCCGGGCAGGGGGTCTATTACTACACAGTAGAGTCAAAGTTAGGGGGGACAACGATGGAGTAACAATCGGGTTTAGTTTCGTTTTGACATAACAAGGGTCCCTCGACTCTTTCGGAGCAACCCAAAAAAAAAAGTGAGGCGCACGACCATTCCTCACGTAGAAAGTGGAAAACGCCGAAAAAATAACGATAAAATAGGACCCCCAACCAACCAACACGGACCGCCAGCCAACCGAATCCGCCAAGACCGGGGGACCCTCTTCGAAAAATCGAAAATCAGGCCAGGAGCCCGAAATCCTGACAGAATTATGACGTTAGCCGGTGCGCTCAGGGTACTCGTGCCAACACCACCAATGAATGGGCCAACATCCAATGCAGGCGCACCAGGTTGGGGAGCGAGACCCTTCATTTTGCCTACCCTTTGGCAGAAAAGTATTGGCTTGTTCCTGACCTCTTCCCCTCAGGAAAGGGTAACGCCAGTGATGATCCCGTCAGAAATGCGAGGCAGGACCGCGGAGGAAGGGTCCTCCCCCTTCTATTTGGTTGACGTCATAACCTCCCGGCCTTGCTCTGCTGTGTTTTCCTCTTGAACCCCTACATTCCGATTTCCCTCTCCTGTCCATGAGTTTACTTGAATAGTTTCGTTCAATTGAAACTGCATACCATTGTTCATACAGTTTATATAGTTTTTTGGTTCCTCGAGCGACCAGATAGCTCTTATATCATGCAGTACCCATCGACACCCTTCATCCAAAAGTTATCCATCGTCTGGCCATGCGACACAACTTACAACGACATTTGGCCGACAAACAAATGCCACGTCCAGACGACCACAAAACGCCATAGCTATTCCAGTTGCGCCACCTCATACAAGATTTCCAAACGATGCCAAACCATGAGGGTATTCAAGTAATCAAACACACCAACCTCAGCCAACCAGGCTGGACTTGACCGAAACGCTGATGCCATCAACGACGACGAAACAAACAACCGAATAAAATCAGGATCAAACACACGAGACTGGACTGGAGGCCTACACCAACAGATTGCGGATCTATGGAGTGGATGGAAAACGATTGTTGCCGATCATCTACCAAAACTCGCGTCCGCTTATTGAACACGACGGTTCACAATCTCGCCCGCACGCACCAATGCGCTCATACCGTCGAGCTTCGGATCGCTCCTCTCCTGAAGACCGAGCGACGTTGTAGAAGAAGCACCCGATGATGCTTGCGACACGTTCGATCCATCAGTCCCTGTTGACGAGGTAGACTGGAATCTTGATAAGGCAGGCGGTGAATGATAATCTTGCACCCTCATTAGCCTCTGCGGAAAGCCTTGCTTGGTTTGACCGTGAGTACCATTAGTTGCCCCAATCGGAGCTTGTGGCTGCCCTGCGTAGGGCAATTTCGAATCCTGGAGTGGTGGTGGTCCTGTCGGCGGCGCCGTCGAGAATGGTGATGGCTGCAATTCGAATGGAGGGCCCGGCAAGGTCTTGTTCGATAACAAGGCGTGAATCGGTAGCGAAGATTCACTAGGTGTTCGGGGGTACGACAGTCCAGACCCAGAGGATGAAATGCTTCCCGCGGAAGAATATTCGTGCTTCAATGACGGTGGTGCGGAGGGACCAGGGTGTGTTGGAGGCGCGAAGCTCCCAAAGCCATTTGGTTCAGGAGACCTTGAGACGCCGTTCAGTCCTCGTCCATTATTGAACACATCTGAGAGGGAAGGAAGATGCGGAAGTGTAACTGGCTCTGGTTTGGCTGGTGCTTCCGTCCATGTTGGGCGGTGGTTCCGAGTCTGCGAGGTACGAGGACTTGTGGAGTGCAAGCTCTCGCGATCGAACTGTACGCTGGCAGGGGAGTGCACCGAGTCATCATTGGGATGATGATGAGAAATCGGGGTCGGCACGGCCGTCGAATATTGCGATTCGGATACCGATACCACGGAACCCACACGCTGTTTGCGATTAGGAGGAGGTTCGCTTCCCTGGTGACTCTCTGTACCACTCCCTGTGCTGCTAAGACTCCCAGGTGTAGCACTTGCGCTTCCTCCGTTTTGCAGACGAACCCCTGAATCAAGCTTCTGACGTTTTGACGACTCTTTTGCTGCATAAGTGTCAGTTTGACGGCCATTCGAATCGACAAACCTCCACGCACCTTGATTTGCGGAGGCTTGCCGTGCCTTGAAATCCTGTAAGTACAGGTTGTATTTCCTATACTCTGTCGTCTTCTTGTACTCGGCCAAGTCGTGGTTGTATTTCTCCTTGGCTTTCAATGCGGAAGTTTCATATGGCTCTTTCTCGCCGGGAGTTAAGTTTTGCCAGTGCTCTCCCACAAGCTTGGCTATTTCGGTAAAAGTCAAGTTCCGACCCTTAAGGTCATCACGCATCTCTGCGGTGCTGGTCAGATGTGTTCAATCATCTCAATGCAGGGTGGAATTCATATCATACTATTTGAGAATAGGACATAGGCCGAAGGAGGTCTCTCAGGGGCATTTTCATCAGGCTACGTTCGTTAGCTTCGTCCAGGTACAAGTGTACATACGTCTACACGGGGTTTACGGACCTTGGGGTGACGCCTATACTTTCGTTTCGTAGCGACCGGTCCCTCCTTAACCTCGAGACGGGGTTGATCAGGTCGTTGTGTCTCAGGCTTTGGCTCTTCTGCGCTTGCTCTTGTGGGCGAACCTAGTGATGCATCCGGAGCGAGGCCACGAGAGTTGGCGATTCGTCTCTGTAGTTTCTGCTTCGTGTTAGGACTTGCGGGGGCTATGAACGAACGTCAAGCACTTACACGTCTGTGTCCTAACTTGACTCCAAGTGCGTCGCTGCAAAAATATTATCGTCAGTTTCGAGTATGTGGCGTGGCAATAACTATGGTCCACTCACAGATCGGACTCAGTAATGTCCAATATCGTCTCCCACGTATCGAATCCTTGCTCGAGAAAGATGTCTAGGTACTGCGAGATGCCTAACTCTGCAAAGATTCCATCCAGTCCTTGCGCCATGGTTGAGCTGCGTGGCGTATATCAAGTTACGTCAACTCGAACGTGTTGTTGGAACGGGGCGGTAGTGCGACGGTTTGCAAACTTCTTTCGCGTCGAAGATGATATCCAAAGGATTGGCGTTCACGGCTTTCCACTTTTCGTTCAAATCCCTTCTTAAACCCGAACTCTTTCGTTCAGCCGTCGATTCGTTTCGCTACGTCTCGGTTTCCGTCGCTCGAAGTCGAAGCACTTCTTTTTGCGTTGCGGTCAATCAATAATCATTGAAAGCTTCCTTCTCAATCGAGTCGCGGCGGTTGGGCAGCGACAGGCGGCGCCTGTTTCGAATATTGCGTGTCGGTCGGCAATCAGCGTTTTCTCGTCGTCTTCGATACTGCGCAAATCGTTCTAAGAGCGATGTTGTTGAAGTAATTCCGAAAATTCTCGATTGCTGGACGAATTCTACGTCTGCATGGGGCGTTGATGATAAGTAATTGCAGAAGAGGAAGGCGTGTGGCACGCATGGCGTGGATATACCAAGTTGGTGGCTGCAATATGGAGGACGGATCTCGATGACAGTGAAGGAGACCGAGCTTTTGGGGTGTGGGACAACGGCAAGTACCAGACCAAGCAAAGAGGGGCCTCGGGATTCAGATGGAATGGGATGTGCGCTCTGGAAAGAATACGTACTTTATGAAAATGCGTTTTTTTGAGCCGGCTCGGCGGTTCGCAGCCGCATGAACGACGGGGAAGAGAACGGATAGATGGTCTGGTCTGGTGGAGGAAAGTAGGGCGCGTCTCTGGTGGGAGTGATGAGGACTGGACCAAGTTTGTTTGATCGAAGAAGAGGGTTGAGTTTGGGAGAAAGTGACCAAGCCGGCAAAGTCTTATTTTTTTTTTTTTTTCCCAGTCTTCCTTTGCACGGGTTGGGAACTGGGAACGGTGAAGAACAACTGGGGGGGATGGCCGTCTACCGAGACGGAGAGGAGGGAGCGAGTTTGGTGAGCCAAGGGGAGTAAGGTATGGATGGTTGCCAGTATGGAACGGAGGAAGGGCGAGGTAAACGGTTCAAAGATTGAGCAGAACTAGCCCCGCGGTGATCGACGCGGATCAAGAGGTGAGGTCAGAGGTCAATGGGGAATCTCTCGAGGGTGGGTGTGTGTTGATGGTCGACCGTAAGGTAAGGTAGTTAGTGAGTGTACGGATACTGGTAGCCTCAGACGTCGCCGCAGACTCGACTTGTGATCCGGGGTGGCATGTCCATTGGCCCCAAGCCCCAAGTCGAGAAGCTAGAGCAGCAGACTGATGGATAGCTCAAGGTACCCAGGACAAGCTCCCTGGCGTCTGATCGCAGAAACCGACTTTCGAGAAGTCAGCGACGAGCAAGACGAGCAGCAGTGAGCATCTCCTACTGGAAGTCCATCGCAAAGAAAAGCGGGATCGAGCACAAGGACAGACAAATATGGAGCCCTTTTGGAAGACATGGAAAGACATGGGTTCTCAGCGAGTCAGGAACAGGAAACGGCCGCTTGAGATGGGCCTTTGGGATACATGCAAATCCTGTACCGGTACAGGGAAACCATACCTGGCCCATGTCTCCTTCCCTTCCCTCTTTGCCTCACTCTCCAAGGCGACAAGGTAGAACGTAAGGTACCCTAGATACGAAGTACCTTGCGTAGGTACCTCAGTACCTCTCTCTTTCCCCGTCCAGCCCAAGGCACCCACCAAACTTGAGGCCTCAGGCCGGGATCACACATGGGTACGGAACTGGAAAGAGTGTAGTGGCACTGGGCCACTGCCCACTGGTAGTGTATGTACAGACTGAGAAAGAGAGGGGGGTGTTCGTCCATCATCCATCCCCTCAAGAGCCACTCCCTTTGACAACACCTCCAGGCAAGGTACCTACGCACCACACAGACATAGCAGACACGCTACACTAGACTGTGATGCGCCAGCCCACCACTCTCTGATGAACGGAATCCGCTCCGTAACTCGACTGACTGCAAGTGCGGTAGCGGGAGCGGCATCATGGCACGCCTCGCCTCGACAGAGAGCATTCCCAAGCCGTACCTGCACACTCTCTAGACTCTCACCACTTTTGTAGAACACGCGATACCAAAACAGCCACTATTGAAAACCCAGTGCTGACCCTAGATTCAAGACGGCATCTGCATCAACAATTCCTGGATTGACACACCAATTCGGCAACGGGCCCTTCGAGACCGTCGCGGGTCATGCCGCTGCCTCCTGGCCAGCATTCTTTTTCTTCCTCTCCAAAAAAAAGAGAGGGGAAGCGAACATCGTCATTTGGGTTGCGGAATACCGCCCGTCGAGTATTTGACCAGGAGAGTGAGAACCTCGCCCTCAATGCAGACAGTAATCCAGGCCAAAACTGCTAGGGACAGTGGCCAAACAACGCGATTTCGATTCTTGTGGACGGAAATGCGCCTGACTCTATAAACAACCCTGCGATCAAGTCACCGTTCCAGTGCCTGCTCTCCAATGAAGAGCAGGCCGTGGAAGTGAATCTCGATGTCAATTCCACCTACACGCTCATCAGTGTGCTTTCCAGACAAGCCAGCTCGCGCTTCTCGACGTGTCAGCGGTCGAGCAGCCAGTCAGACTGGCTTAAATCGCCAGAGATGGCTATTCACACGCCTCTGCGCGGGGAGACGGAGCATTGCACCAAGGATTGAAAGACACCTGAAATCGAAGAATTGCGCCGCGATCGAGAGCCGCTACGACCCCCTGCTACACACGCTCACGCGGATGAATCTGGCCACCACGGGCCATGGTTGAGGAACGCACCTCGTCCGTAGGCAGCTGTCCCAAAGCACGGTGCAGGTGAGACAACAGACCGCGACCCAGGACGACGTAATAATCGCGTTGACATCTCTCTCGTTGACCTCGCAATTGCTCGTCTGTATCTTAAAGAACAACCCAAGTGGTTATACGAATACCGGAAGAAAGCGTCCACATAAACGACATGGCAATGTTTCGATGATCGATCAACCAGGAATCGATCCAAGATGAGAAGCCGTTCCGTCACGGCCGTGTGCGCCAGAACACGACGACCTTTGATCCATGGCCCATCAGACCCAAAGCAAAGGCCGTTGTCAGTGGGGTTCGCATGGTGCCGGTGCGATGTGTCTTGCCGGAAGACAGACATATCACCGAATTTGCAGAAAAATCGCCTTTTCGCAATGCGATTACTGATGACACAACATGCCGTGTTACTCTGAACCGACACAGGGGGCAACTTCGCCGTCGGCTGACCTAGCAAGTAACCAGATTACCTTCCGCTTAACCGAAATTCTACTCTGTGGCGGAGGGGCAAAAGACGATAACCATCGTCAGTCTGGAGATTGTGCATTCGGCTGGATATGGCATTTGGGTGACGGGTCGCAAAGTGAGGCTGAGAGCACATGTGCCTTCACTTCTGGGTTGTCACTGGCTCCACCATCCATTAAGAGCGTTCTGGAACTCGGACCATCTGAACGAAGCTGGGCAAACCGACGGCAAGCAGGATTGGCACGGCATCTAGGCGCATGCAGACCCTTTTGACGGGGCACTGGAACGAGAGATATGCATCAAACAATGCTTTTCGAGAGCTGGTCAGCACGAATTAGGATCATGGACCGCTCCAGCGTCGCCAGACTGAACCCGCCCGGGATGCCAACACGATCCAGGCCATTCCGTACCCCGTTAGTAGCACGCTACAGCACCAATACGCGACAACGCGCCAGGCAATCAGAGAATAACATACACGGCCATATTCGAGCTTGTCGACGACGGAGCATTGACTGGATCGACGTGGTCTGTGTGCTGTTATTGAGAGGCGACAGAAGCTGGTAAATTGAGGGTTCTGATATAGCAGCGCTAAGTATGGACTCACGGAGTGCGGGTATCTTGTTTCAATATGCCAATACCCATGGCCAGCACTCGCACCAGTACGAATATTCATATCACCTCTTCAAATATCCATATGGAGTACGGATACACAACATGGCCATGGGCTCCCGCTGTGGAGGGCGTTGATCTATCCACGGGCCCCAATGGACGGCGGAGGGTTTCGCCGCGGAACGTGCTATATACATGCCTAATGGCAGTGTTACAGAGCATCGACGCGCTAGTCACCTCCCGACCCAACCTCCGATATGGACTTCCCGCCGTGACGTAGATTTGATGCAGCACGAGGCTTGCGGAACCGACGACCTCGGACCAACTGGATCTTATTGGGGCCCTTCTACGGCGCCGAATGACCATGAATTACAGCAGATTGTGAGGAGCTCGTGGGCCAAAGTTTCATCGAAGATGCCATCGAAGATGCGAATCTGAAGATTAGCGGGCAGGAAATGGGCTGAGAGTAGCCACCGGCTGGTCTGGACACCGAGAGAACGGAGACTGTGGGCGTGAGAGACTGGGAAGAGGCATGAGAAGACAGGACGGTCTTACACACGGGGAGGAAGGAAATCGTCGATGTTTGCGCGTGCACTGCAGGCCTGGTTGAGGCATATCGCCACTGGGCATTCGAGAATACGATCGCAGACGGCACATACGATCACCATGAGAAGCATATGCGACAGGGCTGATGCTGTTCTTGCGCGGCATGCCCAGACGCTGGGCCGCTGGCGAGCTGGTTGGCAAGAGAGTCTAGACTTCTACTGAGTACAAGTGTATCTGTACAAGACTATCCATACAAGCGTAACGCAGGCGCAGGCGCAGAAAGCATGACTTTGCAGTGAGCGAGCAAAGCAAGGAACAAGACGGGGACTGGATTTGGCTGAAGTCATCCAGGGCGAAACCGTAAGTTACGGAGGAGGGCACATGGATGGATAGAGGGATGGGATCAATTGGGGGATGTGATGATGGGTGTGCGAACAAGGTTCCATTGACTGCGACACGGTGAATTCCAACATCTCGATCGCGAACGCCCATTTCCCAGTCATCGAGATTGGGCAAAATGCCACCAAGAGAGAGAAACATTGGACCTCCGCCCAGTGCGTCAGAAAAGCAGCGGGTTTTGGTGTTTGGGATCCGATGTCATTGTTTTTTCACTGATCAGACACTGGAAAAGTCCGATCGGGGTGGGATGGGGTTTTGGTGGGCATCTGGAAGTATGCGGCGGCATCGAGAAATAGAAAAAATTAAGAAGGAACACCTGGAAAAGCTAGTCTGGGGTTCTTTCCCAGCGCAGCGCAGCGAGTACGTCTCTCAACCGGCGTACCTGTAGGGGGAGGAAGGGGATTGTTGACAGTTTCCGGTGCAGCCAGTGGAGATCCACCTCGCCCAAGTGGGGTTGGTGCCAGGCCCTGACACTTGCTGCTAGCCAGGAGGTACCTCGAGACCTCTGACTGTACAGCCACCCGCTGCATTGCCTGAGGTGACGCCAGGTATCTACATCAGGTACAAATACTCGGGTAGCTCTGTGACGACAACAGATTGAGTGCTGTACTTGCAACGGGGGGAACCCAAGCTATGGCTCAGCGTCCCATTCTTTCTCCACTTGCCTGTCCCGTAGTTTATCTAATGCTAAGGTGAGAGGGACAGAAGTTAGAGAGATAACCTCACCTTCCCAAGTTACATTCACGAAGAAGCAACAACAAAATCTCACGGGTACGCTGTAAGTCATCGGGTCTGCCTCTTATACCTTTGCCTGTAAAATATGGAGAAGAAGAAAAAAAAAAAAAAAAACGAAAATGGCATTGAATTCCGTCTGCTGTAGTGGCAATTGCAGTGGGATGTCGGGATCCTATCTGACTCACACGGACGGCCACCGTAGGGTTACTCTATATCGTCGAATAATATGTCTGTTGAAGGCCTATCCGTGCCTACCTACCTACCTTCCATCGCAAGGTACCACCATCCCATTTGAAAGTGAAGCAAACCACGGCAGTCACAAGCACAAAGTCTGGAAAATTTTCCCCCTACGAGCTGCCAAGTTCATTATGGGTGACACGACCCTCTGGCTTTCTGGCTGCATCGGCCCTACTCTGATTCTCATTCTGCAGTGGTAACCTGTCGGCAGGTTTCCAGGTTTTATGTGTATGTAAATGGAAGGGAGGGAGCAAGCTCACAGGCAACTGCCAATAGCACGCTTCGGATCAAATCAATCAACCTGGTTGCCGAAGCTTAGCTTGGCAACGATACTTTCTTGCCAACGGCGCGGCAGTGCCCCCGCCCCCAATGGTGAGTGGACCGGGTGGGATGAATCTGCATTCTGTGCTCCGTTATGGAATCGGAATCGGAATCGAAAGTCGAGATCCCATCATCACAGGGACTGAAATGGTATTCTCGGCTCAAGACAAGGCACCGACAGTCAGGTTTGACCATTTTTGCTTAAGGGGGAATCAGGCCGAAATCCCCGCGATAGTTTGACAACCCTTGCCATATTTCGCACTTGCTGCCCAGGTTGTACCGTTGTAGGTAGTAACAACGCATCCGAGGATGCACGGGTCATTGCGATGAAGATATGATCGTGATGCCACATTGCAACGCTACTTACTCATTTCCCAATACACTGGGCAACCTCGTCGCTGCGATTAGCAAAAGTAGGTGCTGAACAAAGATGCTCAATCCCATAGAGGGCCATCCGACAAAAAGTTTAGTGCCCAGAGGCGGATTCGAACCGCCGTCAACACGGATCGCTGTATAGAAGAACCACAACGTATCATCCTAACCAACTAGACGATCTGGGCCACCGGTTGAAGTTGTGATTGGTTGTCAGTTCGGTGCTGAAGAAGCAAAGCGTGAAAGGTGGTGAGTTGTTCCGGTTTGTGAGGGCTCGTGATGGTCGCGATTAGGTAAGCCGCTGGCACCCTGCGTCCCCCCCCAAAGAGTGACCGCGCATTTCTGCCGCCTATCGACGGCAGGCCGTTGGATCTACAGACGTCTCGAGACCCTACACTACAAAATCCCATACATCCATTCCGGGAACATTACATTCAACATCAACTATCCCCTGACACGACATCGAATTATCGCCTTTCACTCGGCATTACCGAATTCCGGGTCACCTGGTACGCTGAGCCACCCAGAGAAGAACTGGTCCCCCAAGCCGGGAATCCACGCACGCTTGTCGCCCTACCTTGACCAAAACACATCACTAACCAAACTGCAACAAAGTATTACCAAGTATTCAACAGCGTATCGCCGACGAGCCGACGACAAACCATCACAACAAGTCGGCGCAAAAAAAGACGCCCAGTATCCGCATTTACCACCATTACGACACGTATACCAGGGCACAGGAAAGGGCAATCCACGGTGTCGATAAAGGGTTGGATCGGTGGAGGATTAAAAAAAGAGGGCGACCCCTCCCATTAAGACCCCCAAATCAGGCCACTATCTTCTCCCCTTTTGTTTTTCCCGGCCAGCTTTTATTTTCTCGCCCTTTTGATTCGCCCACTCATCACCGTCTTCCGAACATGGCCCCAACGTCCAAGGCGCCCGAGTCCGCCTCCCCGACAACGACCGGGCCCGATGGCGACTCGTCTGTGGATAACATTGCCCAGGTATGTGTGTTGTTAATGTTATCCCGTTACCTACAATTTTGCAAGGCGGTTTGGTTTGTCTTGGGACCCCGACACAGCAAGGGGCCTGGGACACCTGAGCGGATCGCGTTGAAAGGCGCAGAGCTTTAGGCTTAACCGCGGGTCCCAAAGGTGGTTTTTTGCCCGTCTTCTGTGCCTCGGTTTACCATCTACCCTGTGTTTCCCATCCTTCCCTTCTCCGTCTCTCTCTTTCGCAATCTCTTCGTTCCGCCCCTAGATGCCTCACTCCGTCTCTCCTCCACCGGTCACCTCGCTGAGTTCTGCACCATCCGCCTTTGGCAGGCCCCGTTGGTAGCTCCGCTGCTCTCCGCTCGTACATACGGAGCGGCTGGGGACTTGCCTGGTGCACGCCGTAACTGCTGCAGAGGAGAGGAGAGGAGGAGAGGGGAGGCGAGGGCAGAAGGGGGTGACATCGGATGGGAAAACCCCTCTACCTAGACTGTTCCAGGGCTGACCACGTTCGGGGCACGTTCTAGGCCTACAAGGACCTGCTAAGGTACGCTCGTTTGGCGAGTATTTTTCCTTCATGTCACTCTCTCCCCCACCCCCGTCGCCTGCGAGCCCGAGTGTCAGCACCCCTTGTCCTCGCGCCCATGGTGTGAGGGAATGAAACGCCCCTCTCCCTGCTTCACTCACCACAATGTTGAGAATGGCATGTTTGCACCCTGAACGAGTCGGAGCTGCCTCCGAAGCTGCAACCCCCGAGGAGAGCGTATCGCTACGAATACCTACACTATGGTACTCAGCAGTCTGGCCCGGATTTTCCTACGGATCCATGTGCGTAGCACAACAGCGGCGCCGCGCCTGTGCTCGCATTCTTTCGTTCGTGGGCAAGACATCGCCAACCTTTCAATCTGGTGCAAGTTCCCCTTTCTTTGCGAATGGCGTTCTCAGCCTTGGGCTCTTCTTGGATTGGTGTCGGATTTTGCTCGATCCGGCATGGACTCGAATTCTGGCCTGAGGTCTTTTTTTCCTGGCTCACAACCGCCGGCATTCTCACGTTTTCGACTCTGCGGGTTCCTGTTCTAGCGCAGAGGGCCATCCACGACCCAGCATCTCTCCGGTCGCTTTGCCCGTGATACTCTCTATGGGGGATGTCGCATCGAAGCGAGACATGCGATTTTATCGCTCGATCTGGGGCAGGATACTGGACTAGTTGTGGTCCGGCATTCTCTAATTCGCTATTACAAAAACCCATGTGCAACGATGGCTTTCGGTTACCGCTCCCGCAGCAAGCCCGTATCATCAAAGTTCTAGACCCTCCCTTTGGCCCAGACTATCCGCTGGCACCGCAAGCCTAGAGACGAATACGGCCTTGAGCATCTTACGCTTTCAAGGCTAGCGCCTACGTTCAGTCTCAGCCCATGAGCACTTCGCGACGCCCGGGGCCGTTGTCAGATCACGCCCAATACTATCTGCATCGCCAGACTTTGGGAACTACTGCACTTCCCCTTGCTCCCGGCCGGGGTCTGGCCAAGCGGCAGGACCGAGAAGACAAATTCCCATGTTTCGCTACCCATCGAGATTCGCCCTCGTGACCGCTATCATACACGCCATTCTTTTGGGGAGAATTTGGGCTAACCGCAAATCGCATACAGAGGCGAGCAGGCGGCCAGCGCACTCGAGGCCAACCTGACGAACCTCGAGGGTAGACTTGACGCGCTGCTAGCCGCGTTCGAGTCGGTTCAAGAGCCCAACGAGGACGGAACCGTGACACCGCCCGGCCAAGATGCGAAGAAGCTGGACGACACGGTCCCTACCAAAACCTCCAATGGTGGAACCCAGAGCTCCGAGTCCGAGTCTCCCGAGGCGGCGAAGAAAGCCTAGATCTAGATCTGCCTTTTGACGATGCGCCGCCGCCGCCGTCGCCGGCTATTAGGCACTGGGCTTGGGCTTGGGCTGGGTACACACATTCGACGGCCGCATTGTGAAAGCGTCAGTCAGCATTTAGTTGCGGTGTCACCAACTCACGGTGCTACGGTGTTCTGGAGCCGGGACCCATCCCTATTGCATTTGCATTGCATCGTATTCTTTGCCCTTTGCGGTTCCGCATGGAAGCGAATTCTGGGGTTTGCGACAAGACCAAAAGGTGGCGAAGAACGGACTCCTGCATGCCCCAGGCACGACGATCCATGCTAGGGATCAGGGTTGTCCTCGACACGTGTATTAGCGGATAATTTTTCTTTTGTCCCCAACCTTGACCTATTTATTGTATACATTCTCACCGACCGCATCCCGTCGTATATTGCAATTCCCCTCCCCCATTGATGTATCCGCGCACACGTGGTGACTTTTCTCTACTTCTCTCTCGGGCTTCGCACAGGAGAAGGAGAGGGAGGTACATGGCATGAAGGTCCTTGTTCTTTCCCACGGGTACGGATACGGGATGGAAGTAATCGAGATTGGGGCAACCGAGGAGGCGAAACATTGCGCTGCATTGCCGGATTTAGACGGCTTTGCCACTCGCTTACTGCTGTCTACACGACCTAGGAACCACTCAACTTTTACCTCCTTTTTACCTTTGAAGAAGGTCTAGAACTTGGTGATGCATGGATTTAAAATGTCATTGAGATTCTCCCGATATTGTGGGCGTGGTGTCGGTGTATATACGAATAGGTGGTGCGGCAGTGTATATGTGTGTATGTGTGTCTGTGATTGTCCAAAAAGGAGCATTACCTCCTTCCTTACCTCCTTGCTTCCCTTGCAGCCCCAGTCTACGTCTCACCCGAAGGGCCAGAAGGGACTCGGCCGACATGTATGGACGTTCACCCCCTCCACACGGAAGAAATCCCCCTCCCCTCGCAATTCGCAGGGTTATCCGAACGAGGGGGGGGGGGGGGTTCCAACGGCCGTTCCTGACACGCAGATCATCGGTCAACGAATGAGGAGTGGGAGACGTGAACCCGATTTCCGATCAAACGGGTATGTATAGTGCTAGCCTCGGATCAAACGCTCCGGTTTTTGTTGGTATTTTTTTTTTTTCTTCTTCTTTTTTTGTTTGCCAATTTTGTTTTGAGATCGTGATGGCGACGAGATCGTGATGGGGGCGAAAGGCGAGAGCGCGGCCTGGCGGTCAGGGCGGGCAAAGTGGCGATAGGGGGGCGTCGTGGTTTCTCTAGACTCTGGAAACAAATCTATATGTTTGATCCCTTTAGATGAGGCGGCGGCGGCGGCGGCGGCGGCTCTACGTGTACCTGTGTAACCCCCCCCCCCCTCATATAACAATATTCGTACACTACCTATGTACGGATATGTATGCATGTGTGTGTGTGTGTGTGTGTCTGTCTGTCTGTCTTTTGGTGGCCATTTTCCCGCTCCCCGGTCCAATCGGGTGTGATAAGTGACATTTGGGTATCGAGCCCATGCTGCAGGTGGTTGTTGCTTGTGTGTTTGTTAATTTTGTCCAGAGTTGAAGGGAAAGGCTCTTGGCTCCTCCTTTTTTTTTTTTTTTTCTTTTTTTTTTTTGGTCCTTGCCTCCCTGGTGGTTGGTGGTGGTGGTAGCGGCAGTTGAACTGGGGGGGTTTTTTTTCTTTCCCCAATGCTTCGTCTTCGAAATAGCGTTGCGTTTGTAGAATGTAACCCGTTTCAACATACAAGGGCTCTTAATACTCGCGAATATTCTCGCAGCGGTGTTGGAGTAAGGGTAGTGATGATAGCGGAGACAGTTCATGGATGGGCGCTAGCAGTTGTAACATTGACGGGAGAAAAAGAAAGAGAGAGAGAGAGAGAGAGAGAGGGAAAAAACCTAGTCAGCCTCGTTGAAGAGCAACTGTTGATATCCACCGGGGCCGGCAAAGAGTTTTTCTTGTGCCCTTTCCCCCTTTTCTCTTTATGCTAATGTCAATCTTGCATTCAAACATTCTTGACGGAGTATGGTAATGTCACATCGTCCCGTGGATAAACTTCCAATGGGTTCGGGGCAGAAATTTTGCCCACGGATGGACATGTTTGTATGCAAGGAGGTTCCCATTAGTGATTGGGCTTCCAATCGTAGGGCATCTACTATATATAGGAGAGCTACGGTAACTTGGCTACGTGAAAATACCTCCAGAGTCGAGGTGGCTTCGAAAGAATGAGAAGAGTGTGGGACACAGTATCAGGGGAGTATCGAGTAAGAGGGCCAGTTAGACAACGCGAGACATCAGCCTGATCAGAAACAGAACAGAGAGCCAGCTGCATGACTTCCCGCAGAAGAAAGCATCAAGTGGCCGGCTCACAACTGAAAAAGTAGTCACAAGGGGAACAACTCAAGTCTGGGTATCCAGCCCGACCAAGTCGATCGGGCTTCTTTAATATCAAACGATGTAAAAGTCTTGTGTCCCAACCCATACCCAATAGACGCCCTTGTTGCTAGTACCCTGATCTCACTGGTGATGGAAAAACCCCCAAATCCACCTCTCTTTGGCCCTGGCTATTGACCTTCTATGCTTAGTCCCATAGGGACCAATGTCGTAGGCCAGAGTCATCGACTCCGACTTCCAACATCTCCAAGTAGAAGAGAGCACATAGCATAGCCATCTCATGTACTGGCTGTGTGGCAGGTGTCCGTCCTTGTCAAGCCTGAGCAATAAAAGTAAAACTACAATGGGAAGGTTAACAAACGGTAGAGATTGAGGACGACAGCGTTGACGCCCTGCCCTTTGCCCCCTTTGATGATGATGATGATGATGAAGAAAAAAGTCAAAAATGAAAACTCCCCAACGGCCCCCAGAGCCCAAATGCTGCCCTGCCTGGCCCGTCTGTATGCAATGCCCATCTTGGAAAACCCTCCTGTGAACCAACCCACAAGCCTAGCTGCTCTCTCTGCGTGGGCGAAACATTGCTGCACACGCACCCACTGTGAATTCTCGAAAGATGCTTTCCTCTTCTATCTTGAGAAGCTCTTAGCCACTAAAGGGGGTGGGGGGCGAGCGGGGTGTGTCGTATGTGATTTGGTGTATGTGTAAGAGCGTCGAGTGAAAGGTAGGATGGGGAAGCGACGATGTGCGTGTTGTAACCATCAATGATCTTGTAACTCTTGGGGTATTTCATCGAAAACGATGTCAGTCGAATGTGGTTTACTCGGGGTTCCACTTGCGTTTTTTCTGAGCCTGTCCCTGCACATCCCAGTTAGGAACTATGTGACCTCAGTAGCAGCTGCGCGCACGAACAAGAAACCAAGTTAGCTTGTAAGGCTGCGCGAGTCGGAAAGGCCGTTACGTGCCCTAGAAATGGGATCTTCCTGGTCTGCCGTTGCCACTGCTGGGCTGGCTGGACTGGGTCCCATGATTGGTTCTTTTGAAGTGAAGGATCGGGTCTCCAAAGGCGGGCGAAGATGCGACTGAGGATGCTCGTTGGAGCTTGCCTTAACTCTCGACTGCTGAGCCACATCCCTCTCCCGATTCTTCTCCAGGAGCTGACCGCCAAGGGTCGCACACTTGAGAATGGTCTGGATCAGGTGGTTCTGCTGCAGAGGCTTCGACAAGTACTCGTCCATCTGTGCCTGGATGCATTTCTCGCGATCACCCATCATGGCGTGGGCTGTCAGAGCAATAATGGGAGTACGATGCGAGCCCAGGCTGCGCTCGTACTCACGAATCTTGCCTGTTGCCTCAAAACCGCCCTATTGGGGTGGGATTAGCTTGCTATCAAAGATGATCAAGTAGCAATAGAAATTCCGGGACTCACCATGATTGGCATCTGAACGTCCATAAGAATAACGTCGAACTTCTTCACCTTGATGGCCTCAACGGCCTCAAGACCGTTGCCAACAACTGTGACCACGTGGTGGTACTTTTCGAGGATCTTGACAGCAAGTCTCTGGTTGACCCGGTTGTCTTCCGCGAGAAGAATCTCGAAAGACTTGGTGTTGTCGGCCAGGGACGGCGTCGCGCGATTCTCGAGGGCAGGAATCATGCCGTTGCCCAGATCCACAGCAGTGCAAGGCGTAGTCATGTATGATGTGATGCCCAAATCCAGGCACGACTTGAGGTTCACGTGAACGACAGGCGCCAGGAGTACGATAGGCAGGTACTTGAAGTCATCCACAGATCTGAGCCTCCTGGCGGTATCGATGGAGTCGACAATAATGACATCGTACGGCATCGCCTGAGCATCGCGAACGCTGGTGAGGATGGGGTTCTTCTCAGACTCGACAACAACTGGTTTGAGGCCAATCAGAGACAGCATTGTCTCGATCTGCTCTCCGTAGCCAGACTGCGACTTGTCGACAAAGAGCACCTCGTGACCCTTGTACGGCTTGATTTGCTTTTCGATGATCTCGACGCCGAGATCCGACAAGCGCACTCGACACGTGAAGTGGAACTCACTGCCTTGACCATGTTGGCTCTTAACCCACAGGTCGCCGCCCATGAGCTTAACAAGGCGCTTCGAGATTGACAATCCGAGACCGGTACCGCCGAACTTTCTCGTCATTGAGCCGTCGGCCTGCTGGAAAGTGTCGAAAATGAGGTCAAGCTTATCCGCGGCAATGCCAATACCTGTGTCCGTAACGATGAATTCGATAGCGTACTGGTCAGGACCGCATGCCCAAACAATAGGATCGGCCTTCTTAATGGTCAGACTGACCTCGCCGTGTTCCGTGAATTTGATGGCGTTTCCGACCAGGTTCAGAATGATCTGCCTGAGACGGAATGAATCTCCAATGACGTGGTCTGGTACGGAGCTGTCGACTCGGTAGGTGAGATCGAGGAACTTCTCGTTTGCCTTGACTGCCAGTGTCTTGAGCGCATTGAAAACCGTTCCTCGCAAAGTGTACGGGATCTCTTCTATAACCATCCTGCGTGCTTCAATCTTGGATAAATCCAGAATGTCGTCAATGATGGTAA